CAGAGAACTATTTTTGTTAAGAAAATGGAACACAATCTATGTGAGCTGTTAAGATACAGCTGCTGTTATGCACTTTAATACTTTAACTTGAGAGAAAAAACAGTGTCCAGTTTAGGTTACAGACTGAAAGTTCTTTCTTAGACTATGGCTGGGCAGTTAATGAATGAAACACAAAATCACAGAGGGGCAAAGGTTGGAAGGGACCACCACTGGGGTTATCTGGTTCCTGCTCAAGCAGGATCATCCTAGAGCACATTGTACAGTATGAAATACAGGTGGTTCTTGAGTATCTCTTGTGAGGGACACTCCAGGAAGGAAACAAGTTTGTTTCAGTGTGTGGAATGCTGTAGCTGTTTTTCATCGTTATTTGGACTGAAACCTAATTTCCCTTAAAAGAAATATCTGAATATGTAAGGAAACGTATGTTAATATTCTCTGTATTTATTATTTTATTTGATGATTCCTTGCCATTTGAAGAATACACAAAAGAAAACTACTAAAACATTTCCTATCTTATTTTCTTCAATTGATTTTTTAATTAACTGAGAGTTCTTCCCCTGGTTCAGTTGACTGGTGTGTGGAGGGGTGGGGGGAAATATATTTCTACATAAATTTAGTGTATAACTTTGCCACGTGTTAATGTGTTGCTCACATAAATAAACGCTTCATGTTCAGCATGCCACGGACGTAGCAGTCATTGACACACTACTCCCAGTTTTACTGATGGTGTACCTGAGCAGCAGAACATCATCTCTACCTACTGGGGCTTCACTGACAACACAGCTGCTGGAAATGTCCCCCCTCACCCCTTCACCAGGAGTCTTGGACTTCTGTAGGTGTATTTCCCTTCTCCAAGCTTCACAACACTGACACTGGAAGGGGTTGAGAAGGATCCAGTTCTTTTATCATCTTTCATGGGTGAAACACTTTATGCTGGCAGAGCAGACAGAGCTGCCCTCCTTTTTGAGTAATGTTGATAGTCAAAAAAGTGGAATGTTGTTCCCTAAAAAAAGGGGGGAGGGGAGGTGGGGGTGTCTTAAATCCCCTACCCTTTATAGAAGTGGAAAGGTACAAGACAGATAGCTTCTAAACAGGATTGTCACCCACAGTGCCACCACAGTGCAGCTTTGCTTTCTGAGGGTTCTCCATTCCCTGCCAGGCCAGACTCTCCAAAGCTGCCTGACTTTCCCCTCTTTCCTAACAGTCCTCCTTAGGAAAGTGCTGGATCCACCTCCTGTGCAGAGAGGAATGAGACTGTTGGCTCAGGGACCTCTAAAGCTGTTGAACAGTTACGTAAAGATAAAAGCAGCTTTCACCTCTACCACTTCAGACAGAAACAGGATGAGCTTGGACCATATACTGCATGTTAAAACCCTTCCAAAAATAGTGGTATTGAACCATATACAAACATTCTCAACCAAAACAAGATTAAAAAGAATGTACTGCTATGCAGTGGGGGTGGTGGGATGCCTCTGTTGCTACTTCACTTGCATCTACCACCTGCTTATGAGTGACCTTGTAGTAGGATGGGAAAAGCACCAGCCTTCTGGGATGAAACTTGGAGCAAGTGACATCTGACATAACCTCAGGAAAGCCTTGCCACTTTCCCTCGGCAGTTTTTCAATTGTTCCTTCTTTAAATTTTGTATCATCTTTCTCTCTTCTCCTTCCCTTCCCTAGAAGTCCAGATGGAAAGTGCTAAATGTGAAATGTACAATCACTACTTTGGTAGGAAGAATAATAAAGAACCTAAGTTGACTCTTGATAGGTAATTCCTTCATATCTCTAAGTTGTCACTCATCACTGAAATACAGTAACTCAGTCATTCTGAAATCCTGTATTCGAGGCATTGATCACATCCTTCATCCTAGATCACTTTAATCTCAAGCAGATGGTCCCAATAGTTTGAGTGCAGGAGTTGGAAGATGTGCCATGAGCCATCTCCCCTCTCTCCCCCTCTGCATGCTTACAGTTTAACTGATTGGCATAACTGGAACAGACCCAGCACTTCCTGACAGTCATCACTTTATGAAGTCACTTTCCTTTTTTTTAATCTGAAAATAGAATAATTCTTAGTTCACTTAAGAAAGAGCTCCTGATATAAAGGCAAAAATAGACAACACAGACACTGTTACAGCCTGAACAACAGGAACTTACTTCCAGTTATTTTCTCCATCACATCAAGAGATTTAACTGGCCGGTATTTCAAACAGATACAATAGTAAAAATCAGGAGCTTCATCATAGAGACTGCAGCTACTCCCCAGAGCATGCAGAGGGACAAGAATGAAGGAAACAGGGAGCTTGCCAAGCTCAGTTATATGATGAGAAGTAAAGAAAAGGTATTGCCAACGCCACCCCAGCTCTGCTTTGCTGTCCAACAAAAAAATGAAGCACATTTTCGGTAACGCAGCTTAGAAAGTTCATCTGCTGCCAACTTCTACCTGGTACACAAAGGAGGGAAAAGGCTTCCCTTCCCTTTTCTCCAGCTCTCCCTCACATTATCCAACACAGTTAACTGAGGCAAGTGTCTTAGGAACATGAGACAGAGCACTCTTGGGCAAGACAATTGTCCAGCAGAGGTAGGAACTAGTACCTCATCTCTGCTGGCAGCAGCAGGACAACACCAGCCCCTGCAGAAATCAGATCTTCACAGCTGGCATGAATGTGCAGATTTATTCCCAGCCCAAGACCAAAAGAATAATGCAGGGGAATCATCCTCATTTCACTACCTGTGTGAGGTAGTGCAAGAGGAAAATAGACATCAAATAAGCAGCCTCATGGATGAGGGAAATAAAATCTCCCATGAACCAATCAAGGTGCAGTAAACCTGGTGCACTAAATAAGATATACCAGGAAAATAACTTCATGGTATAAACAGAAAAGTACACAGAGATAACTGATTTTACTCTATGTAAAAATTGGGATTTATTCTTTGTGAGATTTTGTTCAAACTCAACAATTAAAAGTAGTTAGACAAATACCCACAATTCTACTGGAAGCTTTTGGCTTTCTTTGCCATCGCTGACGTCGTGGTGTAAAATTCAAATTTTGAGAAGTCTGTTTTATTTAAAATTGCACTTAATTATTTTACAGGTTACTAAACTGCAATGAACCCACACCACCCTAAATCCATTGACATGTGATTATTAAACTTCCAGCGAAGGCCTAAAAACTGCTTCAGTATAGGAGTGTTTTCTTTCAGTGCATGTTGGCTTAAGTGAGTTATTAGTTAATTCAAGGTTGAAAAACCAATTGGGAGTTTAAAACAGAACTTCTTTATGTCCAGTTTCTTTTTACATTCCTAATCTGATCTTCCTCCACCAAGGATAAATCTTCCTTATTCCAGACTATGTCACATGTCCTGCTTCCACCTTTCTGTGTTTTGAGCTGAATCAGAAGCACCTTGTTCATGAATGCAGGCTTCCTGCTACTTTTCCTGGATTTTCAGAGTTAGGGAATGAAGCATTCTTGAGCATGGAGTAACCAGTCAGATAAGGTAAAGAAATTTCTTGGATGTCAAGAGTTTATAGGTCATCAGCAAATTCATGTGGGAAAAGGCCTTAAATACTGTGTTCCAGACCTATTTTCCTCCACTTCAAGGATGGTTCTTGCTTAGTTTCAATGAGCAAAGGAACTAAATGCTTAAAATAAAAATTATATATATTTAAAAAAAATAGTGGCAGAGAACATAAGGTTCCTGGAACACTCATCTGACTCCAGAAGCCAAAAATACAAGTGGATTAAAAATAGAAAGATCAAATATAACAGGTTTTGATACTGCATTTCTTCTGACAAACCTACTCAACAACAGTGTATTTTAAATGGATTGGGAAAGGCAGAGGCCTAGAAAGAGAATTCTTGTCTCTGAACAAAAAGGCGCATGTCTAGACAGCTGGAACTGTGCCTGCACATTAATTTTTGCAAAAGCAATTAAAGCTGGCCACTTCGGAAATAGATTTCATGCTCTGAAGTTTACATGTAATGGTCCTACATATAAGAAATTACTTTTTTTATAATATCTACAATTCACAATTTAAATCACTCCTTAATGGAAACTAAATCTAATTTTGCCAAGGAAATGAACGATGCACAGATGTCTCCCTGGCTGCAATCAACTCTCAACAGACACAGTGATCAGAGCAAGTATTCTCTCACAGAATAAACCATAATCTGTTTCATGCTGACCAGTGGCTTTTGAGAAATGCTTTTGTTACTGAAAAAAAAGTCAGGAGTAGAATTCACTGAAGTCACATACTGGTCCAGTGGAAGGTGTCCCTCTCCATGGCAGGGGGGTTAGAACTAGATAATTTTTAAGGCTCCTTTCAACCCAAACCATTCCCTGATTCTGCGACAGGAAGCAAAGAGAAGCACAGCACAGCATATGGGATGCTCAGCAGTCACTTCAAAAGCAAATCCCCATCGGCACTAGAACTTTCACTGTAGGCACACATTCAGAAGGCTCTAAAAACTTCCTTTGATCCTCGATTAAAAACCAACTTCAAAACAAAAACCCATTAAAGTCCTTCGAAGAGTCATTCTGCTAAAGTTAACTAGATAGCTGTATCCATATGCTTTAGGCAAAGCTACTACTTTAAAGCAAATGCATCAAACTTCAGGGGCTCTTCATGCCACGTCTATGCAAACCCTGGAGGCCACAGTAAGAATTCATCCTGCTTTCACTATCACAATCTTAAAGCCAAAGACAACTGATGTTAAAACAAGTCACCATCATCTAATGCATAATGGTATAAAAGCACTAACGGGATTAGGGTGCCTCAGAAGTAACCTGCAATCACCCCTCTTCCAACTCAGGACAGTAGGAATTAAATTACTGGAAACCCATGCACACAATTCTGCTCTGAATGTGAAATCAGTCAGGGAGCAGTGAGCTAGATTCCTCTATGTCAGCATGTAGAAAAGAACTATCATGCCTAACAAAACACAGCTGAACTGATCAAATAATCACATTGCAGGAAAAATTTTGCAACAAAACCACCAGTCTGTTGTTATGTAAGAAAACATTTCTTAGGCCTTTATTTACAAAAGCTTTAAAAACAAATACCCTCTGTTATGCAAATTACTTGTTTAAAAAGGACCGCCCAGTTACATCATCATAATTCAATGAGAAAAAGGAGTTTGATTTTTTGCTTTTCAGTACAAGATAAAACAGAGTAATTGGCGAACATGTGGAGATTTTTCTGCCATTGATTTCCGTGTCAGGCACACGTACGCGCGCACACGCAGACACACAATGTCACGCATTCCGTCATTCCAGGCTACTAGTTAGCTATTCAATACCAAAAATCCTTCCTGCACAACTGCTCTGTACACATGCTATGCAGAGTTAAGAACATACTTTAGGGTCCTTGGAAACAATATATCTAAAATATATTGTAAGATATACTCAAAAATAAACTAGCATTACACTCCTCAGGTAACTTTATTAGCTGGAAGTTATTTATATTTTGTTGTCTTACAACAAATATCTTTAACATCTGTCTTTGTAACAACTACAAAAAGGCATGATTTAATTGTCCTTCTAATTCAATAATTCAATTAAATAGTATTTTTCAGATCTTTGGGGTTCGTCTTCAACTAAACTGACTTACAAAAATCATGAAATCAAGTACATAATAAATATGACTTCATAAAAAATATCTGAGGTGTACATTACTAGGATAAAAGCCACGAGGTTAATCAAGGGAAATGTGCCATTACAAGACTCCTACTTTTCCATTATCCTTCAACTCTCAGCTTAATGGCAAAAAGGCTAAAGTCATAGCTGTTCTTCTCCTGAAGGGTGTAAAGCTGTTTTTTCAAGCCTCTTTCCCCCATCACAGAGCAGTTTTAAAGCAGCAGGCCAACCAGCAGTTGACATGTGCAGTATGTGTTGGAAGATGACCAAACACTACTAAAGTAAGAGCAATTACTATGATTTCAGTAGTTTGTTTTGCTTGAACAAACAGAGATTATGCAGCAAATAAGTCCCGTTGTGTGGGTTGAGATACCAAGAAAATACAGCTTGAAGCTGCTGAACTTGGCAGATGATTGTTTTCTAGCTGAGGGCAAAAGAAAAAACCAAAACAAACTTCAAATAAAACAGAGGATCTGAGTCAGAGTCACTCTCTAAAGTGCAAATCTGATGGTCCACAATCTTGAATAGCTAAAACGCCTGCATACTGGAAAGAACAGACATGAAGGGGGAAGTTAGTTATAATCAGAGCCAATTAATTTAGAGAAGGGAGGGGAAAGACAAAAAACTGGAAGAACGATGTAGGCAAGTTTACCAGAATATTCATTATGATTCAACTTTCCCCTTCTCTCTGCCACACTGATCCTATACATGCTTCTTTACAAATGGGCTTGTTAAGAGGCCAAAATGTAACCCAGAAAATTTTACGTATCAATATTAAGATCAAAATCTGTGATAGGAACAGTCAAGTTTAGTACATAGAAAGGCAGAAAAGAAAGTGTGCTGAGAAAGGGGGGAAAAAAGCCTTAATTGTCCAAGGGGTTCAACCAGAGATAAAACCTATATACAAGCATGTGGAGGTCAAAAAGACGGCCTTTCATTTCATGTCATGACTGTTTGTTGGCTTCTTCTTCATAAGCATTTCCTGTGCCATTCTGTACATAAGATGACCCCGAACCAAGACCATATAAGTGGCCACAATATTTGGCATCATCAATGTGATCTTCAAAGAACATCTAAAAAGTGAAGAGACATGAATTACTGCAAAAGAAAAGGTTCTGTTTCAACACAACTGTAGAAAGGCTTTAAAATTACTTTCTTTTTAAATATCAAATCCCAAGGTGCAAAAGATGATATAGTTAGTATAATAAGACACTTAATCTCAACACATTATCACAATGTGCTATATAACACAATTATTTAAATCTGTCAAGAAATACAATCAATCTTCCTGTGCACCTCTCCCAATTAAATGGCCAAATGCAATGTTTTCACAATTTTGTATTATTAGTCATCACTCACATATCTCCAAGAGCAACAAAGACATTTCTCCATCTGATTTCTGTGGTGCTTCTTACAACAAGCATATGCTTAGCATCCATCATCAGTGCCCATTCCCTTACCTCCCCTCAGTGTGGAGTTTTCATCGTACTCTCTGTCTTGGAATAGAGATGTGCTGATTTGTATTATATAGCTTTGGGGGTGGGGAAGATGAGCACAAAACCAGAGTTTAAATAAATGCAGAAAGATGCATTTTCAGCTCCTCACAGAGGGAGACTTAATTTAATGAGGAAGAGCAAAATTTTGTACCAAGACTGCATTTACATATTACAAGTCTAAATTACAAATGGAACCTTTCAGTGGAAGACAAAATAAAGCCCATGATATTCTGATACTCTGCCTTTCAGGCAGGTTTTCAAGCAGAAAAATCACAAATTATCTTGTCAAAATAAGACACACATACACGAACATTTTTCACCCTAAAACCTTCACAGCAATCCTGGACACTCCAGTGGTTCCCATTCTGAGTCATCATCAATACCAGAAATCTCAGACAGGCACCAATAGGCAGGGACAGAATGGATGCAATACACAATCTAAACATGCAGACCTGTACAGACCACACAGGTCAAAACTTCTCCCTTCAACCTTTGCTTTTAGCAGCACAGTCAAGATGGAAAATTCTGTACTGTAGAAATCAGAGACTTTAATTAGGCTTTGCAGCCCCAGCAGTTCTTAGTGAAATAAAACAGGTAGGAAGAGCCCAAAATAACAACTCTACTCTTGCAGTACCATTATTTAAGTACTCCTGATGGAAAGAAAAGGATCAGTAACTTTTTTGGCTGGCACTCCAAGACCCAGCAAGCAAGTTGCATCTCTGTCACAGCAATTAGTAACAAAATTCTGTGCCTCAAAAAGCACTATAAAGTGAAGTCTTTTTACTCAGAAATACATTTTTAAACACTGAACTTTGCTAAAAAGCTTTAAAAATCTACATTAAATTTATTCCTCTGTGCTTAGTACTGTATTCTTATTCAAAAATGCTGTATTTGCAAAGAGTATTTAAGTACTGGGGAAAATATTCATTATCAGTCCATGTCTGCTGGCTTAATTAAGCAAGTGTGTTGCACTAAAAAACCCTCAGAGATTTCTACTTCTGGTAAAAGCTTTTAGTAAATAAATTCAACCAGCTAGTTTGCCATTAACACAAACTGCATCTCATTAAAGAAACTATCATGGGTTTGGACATTTACTCTAGAAAACTAACTTGAAAGGCTATATCTTAAGCATGATTATTGTATGATTCCCTTCATTTGGTTTGGATCTTCAAATTCAAGAGTGAAGTTTTACAATATTATGCAGACAGCAGGTAGCTGCACTGGCCTTGGATCATACCAGAAATTTAATCCTTTTTATTGCATCTGCAGCCCATGACCTGCCTGACAACTGCAACAGTTCCAGCAGAAGCAGAACAGAATGCTAGGATGAGCAAACCAGCCCAAACCATCATTCTTTATTATTCAGCTGCTGTGTCACTAGTATTTGTCACAATCTCTGGTCATTTTCTCCTTCATACAGAAGGCTGGATTCCAGAAGGTAGACTTCAGCATATAGTACTTCACATGATTAAATGATGAGGTTTGATATTGCCATCTGTTTTGACATGGCAAATGACACTGAATTGCTGGAAGAATGCCATGTTCTGATGCACTGGCATTTGTTCAGTGCAACTGCTTTCCAGAAGAGGCCTGTTCGACATTTCATTGTTCTGTTAATGCAAAACATCCTCATGTTTTCCTGTTGTATGGAGACAAGTAGCAAGGAAATGTGAAGCCTGTAAGACCTGACTCTTTGCTCTAACTTTGAATTAACTGACCTTTAGAACCTTAGTTAAACTGAGCTTCACTCAATGGCAAGGAGAAAAAATGCATAGAAATTCTCCAAAGCAGACTGGAAGTCATTATTTAATATACCTCTAGCCTGAAAGTTTAGCTAGAAGTGGTTCATCAATACTCCTTCCCCACCTCTCAGCCTACCACAAGCAGCAGTACACATCAGCTGGATGTTACACTGAGCAAAAGCTCTAAAAAAATAATTTGACTTGAGTACAGTCACCCAAAAAGGAGTCTGGCTTCAGCAGTTCATAGATCACTACAGCAGTCACCTAAAAAAAGGCACCCTGCAAAACAGGTGAGGAAAAAACACCCCACAAAACAAAACTTCAGAAAAAATCCAGAAGTCAGGCCTAGGCTGGAATTGGGAAGAAATATTCTCTCACAGCAGCAAAGCAAAGAGTCAGTAAGGCTGGTTCACACTTACTCAGGGAAAAATACAGGTGGTGTCATTTTTGTCAAGAAAGGCTTGACTGCTGAAGCCCTTCAGAGACCTCCTTAAAATACCAGACTTATCAGGATCAGCAATTCCATGTGACTATCACAACCCATTACTATAATGGAAATAAAAACAGTATGTCCACCTACTTCTCTCATTTTGAAAAAGGCCATTCCTGTGAGTAAAGAATCGGATCCTGCCTGATGCTGTGGTCCTATCCTTTCCAGCTCTAACTGCTCAGCCACTTCTTGTAACCCACCCTGGAAAACAAAACATTTTTGTTAAATGCCGAAAAGTTAAATCAGAACACAAAACAGCTATATTTGGGAAAATATGTTACATAGGCCATACAACCTCAGGCATATTTTAATATCTGCACAGTAGCTGAAACAGACATTATACTAGATAAATGCATACAAGAAGAATCAAAGTTTCCCTATCAAACAGTATTAATATTCTCTGTCAGTATTGACTAAATGAAGCAGTATTTGCAACCAACAAAACCAGTACTCCTTATGTTCCAGCTTCTCCAGTAACCAGATGCCGTTACTCAACAATTCCTTTAACGTGACTGTTGATACAATGCTTTAAAAGGACAGACTACAAGGCTGTAGAGAACACACCAAAACTGCAAATCTATCTTCTCTAAAAGGTAAAACTTCTCCAGTTTAGAAGGAAATTTTCTTTTCAATAAGCTTATGTGAAAAATTATCCCCTTAACTGCAAAGTGACTAAATAAACATCATTTTAGTGTCCTCTCCAAAACAGTAATAGCTTCTATGTGTGAGAGCAAAGCTGTCAAAATTTGGTTTAGTTTTACATAGATAACACTGATCAGCTGAAGGACAGACATGTAATACTGTAACTGCAATATTTTAATGCTGTGAGCACATGATTGTACAAAGACTATAAAGCTACTGGCATAACTTAGGCACATGCACATTCTTAAAGATCTAGAGAGATTAAAAAGAAAAAAAAAGACAGGACCTTTAGTGCTGCCATAAGCATTGAAAGGCAAAAATGTTGCACAAAGACAATGCTTTAAAACAAAGAATGCCTAGAGTTCACCTTCCCATACGCTCTTAACCTGTTTCAAATACAGGAAGTGAAGCAATAAGAGGTAAAAGCATAACAGTCAAAATTAAAACTCATAGAGCTACAAAGGAATCCAAACTGAAAATCAGATCAAACATTATGAAAATTCCCGTGAATCTTATGGCAACATGTTTGGGTCCTGTTTTTTGTTTAAAAAGATGAAAGCTTCAATAATAACATTCCCAAATAACACCTACAAACTAACAAGAAAACCTAGTACTGCTATTGCTAATTTTTGTCTGTCTTAGCAGCAGAAAAATACCTAACAATACCTGATCACTGCCTCCATCACACTATTCTGACCAAGAAGTGAGTCCTTTCCCCATGTCCAGAAAATTACGTGAGGTGTCAAAGAATAACCTCCATGTTAACAACCTCCATAACCCAGCCTGGCTACTGCAAAAATTCAACCTGTCCTGGCTGGAACCAGGGTATTATCCATTTCATATTCTATACTATCTATGTCATGTTGAAATCTTGTAAGATCCAACAATACACATATATACACACACACAAGTACAGCTTCCCTCTGAGATGTCTGTTAATTTAGTCCATTACTGTGGCATTTATTTATCCTCAATGCCTTCCAGGGAAGGAGGGCTGGTATCCTGCCAGCTCACTGCAAGCTGCATCAGGAGCTCATGAGCTCCATATTCGAAGGCCACAGTAGTTATGGCATCCAGAGGCAGTGGCAATCAGCAACCAGTATTATACAATTCAACATTACAAACTGTTCTTACTCAAAAATCAAATCCCCTTGAAGTACACATTACCATCTCCCCACCCCTTTGTGGGGAATGTGTACCCAGGTCTTTGAGTAAAAACAATCTCACAGATGGGTTTGCCTTTGCTTGAGGCAGGACGAATCCAAACTGTCTTCCCTAACATGTTGCTCATATGCACAATGGGGATTTATCCCCTTCTGTGGTATGTGGAGGCTTTGATTGGGCAAGGTCAGCTCAGCTGGTGGAACCTCTAACGAAGGTCTTCACTGGTGTTAGCATTTAAGGAGATGGCCTCTGCTTAATGTAGAACCCACTGTTAGAAAGTTCTCCATCCATTCCTTTCAATGTTTTTAACAGTCCATTGTACCATCTAATTTTCCCAGAGGCTGGTGCATGACAGGGAGTATGATACACCCACTTCATACCATGCTCTCTGGCCCAGGGGTCTATGAGGCTACTTTTGAAATCAGCACATCCACTTACTCCACATAACGGTGGCATGATGTGTGGAAGGGGCTTTCCTTCCAACACCCAGACCAGCACTGGTAGTTGGAGTGCCAAAAGGAGCTGTGCTTGGGTGCCAATTGCTTCTGAGGCAGCTCAAATCCCTCCATAAATACCAGAATCTCTTCTTCAACTGGGGCATAGCAGGCCTCAGATCCTTTGCACCCCCAACTCCAGAACCCAGAGGTCAGCCTCAAGTCTCTCCAGGAAGCCTATTCTCCCCAGCAGCCATGAAGAGCTCATAACTCCACATCTTGCCACCAGACTGGCCCAAGGGCTACTGGATGAACAATCTCCCATCTGATTTGTTCAAAAGCTTGTTGTTGTTCAGGACCACACTTTAAATCATTCTTTTCCTGGGTCACTTGATATATAGGACTTATAATTTGATTGTAATCTGAGATATGCATCCTCCAAAAACCCACAGCACCTAGGAAAGCCTGTGTTCCTTTCTTGATGGTTGGTGGGGATCTAGCTGCTATTTGTTAACCGCATCAATTGGAATCTAACAACATCCATCTTGCCATTTCCTCCTAAAATCTGAATACCCTGGGTAGATCCCTTGACCTGAATTTGCTTTATGGCAAAACCAGCCTTCAGGACGATCTGGATTATTCTCTCCCCTTTCTCAAAAACCTCCCCTGCCATGTTCCCCCATACAACAACATCATCTATGTATTGCAAGTCTTCTGGAGCCTCCTCCTTTTCCACTGCCGTCTGGATCGGTCCACGGCAAATGATGGGGGCTTTGTTCCCACTACTGGGGCAGTAGGTCCCAGGTGTACTGGATGTTCCTCTAGGTGAAGGTAAACTGTGGCCTGCACTCTGCTGCCAAAGGAATGGGAAAAAAATGCATTAGCAAGATCAGTGGTGGTACCACTTTGCTGCCTTGGACTCCAGTTCATACTGCAGTTCTAGCATATCCGGTATAGTGACACACAGTGGTGGTGTGACTTAATTCAGGCCATGACAGTCCGCTGTCAAAGGGCCATATAGGATTTTTAAAGGGTGAGCACGTCTTGCTGACCACTCCCTGGCTCTCTAGCTCACAAATCATCTCATGGATGGAGGTCATGGAGTACCTGGTCAGTGCAGTTTTGTTGACAGTGCATTGCTGTGGTAGAGATTGGTACCTGCTGTTCTTTGACCCTCAGCAGTCCCAAAGCAGAAGGGTCCTCTGAGAAAGCAGACAAGTTATTCAGCTGTCTAATTTCCTCTGTCTCCACTGTAGTTATCTCAAAAGCCCAATGATGCCCTTCTGGGTCCTGCAGTAATCTATGTCAAGGATACACAGAGTCTCTGTATGCCTCAATAGTGGAGACTGGTCCATACTGGTGGGGCATGGGACATCTCTCCAGTTTTCTTGAGTCTTTTGAATCTGTCTGGACAGTCTTTCGACACCAAGGAGCAGGCTGGTAAGGAGGAAAAGAGATGATCTTCCTATTACTGGAGTCTGTCACCTGATGGACTGCTTTTTCTCATCCTTTCATTGACATCAATGCCAAGGAGCTGGTGAATGACAATGGTGTGCTCCAGACAAACTTCTGCCACGTGGATTGTGTACAATGGAACTTATCTGGATCTACAGGAGACTTCCTGTTATTTGAATCCTTACATATTACCTCCAGCACAACTAATTCTCTCAGGTATCTTTCTCCACGCGTTGCATCTGCTTGGGCACACCACTGGATCATCCTTGAGAGAATACCCTTCTCTCACACTTGACAGGAGTCATCAGAGGGTGAGAGTTTCTGTCCTCTTCCTGAATCCCCATGAGGGTGCCAGTTTCATATTGTGCGCCATGATATTTCAGCATTTCAGCCAGCTCATCCAGGGCTTTCATGACTGGTGGCTGGAATCTTTTCACTTAGCTCACACAGAGATAGGAATTGAGTGATTATCTCTGGTCCTGCCTCTTCCTCCTTTTGTGAGAGCTCTACTTCCCCTTTATCCCTGACTATGCAAAGTGATTTGGTCCTGGGATTTCTTCTTCTGTGTAGGTATGACTGTAACTGGCATGAGTTATTCTTGCAGCTCGGCTGCAGTTTGAGTGGTCACACCACCTGTTGATCTGCTTTCTTCCTCTTCCCCTAAGGGTTCTGACTAGCACTGAACTGTGTCCAGTAAAGAGTAGCCAGGGCCCAGCACACTTCAGTAAGTTGATTCTTTATGGAGCTGCCACAGCATTCTTGCAAATATTCTGTCACTTTATTAAGGTCCTGTAGTGATACTCTCAAAACATTGGAGGAGAGAATTTTCCCCAACAATGGTCCATTTTATCCCACATTCCATGCTACTCATGACTATCCTCCCTCAGACAGATTAACCTTCCTAGAAATCTTTGTCCTGATTCTAGACACAGTGTTGACTGTACTGACTCAAAACATGGTCTAGACCATGTAGACTGAAACAAAGCTGACACAGGAGCAAGAACATGTTTTCCTTAACATCAAAAGGAAATTAAAAATTCTCAAAAGCTATTCTAACAGGCCTGAAGGAGAAAAGGGTACTGAAAAGCTGGGAAAAGCTATCCTCCTGTGTTCTCTCCACAGACTAGGTATGATTAGGAATGGACTCCCAGAGGTAGCGCCCAAAGTAAGGGCAGGAGAGCAGCACTGAATACACTGAATATCCCAAATGATCCTCATTGCCCTTCATGTTATCATTTTATAAACATGATTCCAGTTCATACAACCAACATACATCAACAAAGCAATCCCGATCTGAAAAAGAGCACCCTCATGGGCACATAGTACATCTACAGAAACATATACAGGCGTAGGTAACACACACACACAAACAGACCAAGCAACATTGAGACCACTGGCTCTGAATCTAATGGGACAAATGCTTAGATGGAATTTGTTTCCAATCCACTCTGATCAGATTGCATTCCTTCATGCCCCACACTGCATGCCAAGTAAGGCTGTCATGGTTTAGGAACAGTATTCTGCAAGTTAGTGTTTCCACTAAAACCACTTCAAACTACACTCACTCACTCCTATCCCCGCCCTTTCCTGTGGCAGACTGGAGATGAGAACTGGAGGCACAAAAAGTGAAGATCACAGGTTGAGATGTGAGCCATTTACTAGAAAACAGCAGTGAGATAAGAAATCAAACAGAAATAGCAACAATATTAATGACAGAGTGGGCAAGAAGAGAAACATTGCTCACCAACAGAAACACAAACAGAAACATAATGATTGGTCCCTCCACCACACTACCCTGACCTGCAAGCAAGCCCTTCCCCCATGCCCAGAAAATGATGTGAGGTGTCACAGAATAACTTCCATGTCCTAGCCATGCCCCATCCTGGGGGCAAAAATCCACCCTGAACTGAAAGGAACCAGAACAAAAAATTATGAGACTACTCAGATTCTCTTTCAGAATTCTGCACTCCACATAGGTATGCTTCACTCTTAAAAAAGGAAAAATTCTTTCCAAATTTTCAGAGTGTCAAACTTCCAAGAAAAAGGCCACAAAATAATTTACATAATTACACCGCCATGGTCAACAGCAATTTTACATCAAATTCTCATTTCATGACACAGTCACAGATCTCATTGTTCTGTAAAAAACCCTGAATTAATAGCAAGTTTTCAACAAGGTCTACCAATTTAAATTACTTAGGATTGCCACTACTATCAAAAGGTTTGTAATTGTCTACATAAAAAGCCTTTTAGACTGTAAGCAAGACTTTAACTTCTAATACAAGTCAACTCTCAATCTGCATGCCAAGTCATAATAACAGACTGTAAATTCACAGAGTACTTAACTCCACAAAAAAAGCATCAAACAGATTTCCAGCTCTGAAGCCTATTTCTCTTTCCAACGCCAAGAATCTTTTTTGAGTGTGTGGGGGCAGAGAGTGGGGACCTACAGCAGATCAGTGACATACAAAAAATAACTTAGACAAGTCAATAAAAGACAACTGCACAGCTGTTCAATTCACTGCAATTTAATAACGATCAAAGGTGACACACATTAGGAGATGGCACATGCATTTTCAGAGTTACAACACTAAATGTTTAGTGATTTGTTTCAGGTAGCTTCTCTCAGTACAGTTCAAGTCCACCATCATTTCATCACTGGTAAATTTGGAGGGGTAAGATAGTCTACTTCCCTTCCCCTGCTGTCACTACCAGTCTGCAGATTAGGTGAGTGGATCAAAATTTACTGCAGGAAAGCTCTGAAATTTACATATTCAGCTGAATTCAGCTGAATTTACATATTCAGCTCTGAAAAAAAAAAAAAATCGCCCTTGTTCTTATGGTTTGCCAAAATAAGACCTGTGAAGGTTTTTCTCATCTTCTAAAAAAATCTTAGTGTCTCTAAACAATGCAGGTTACACACAACTATGCTTTAATTATGCCAGAAACCACAATACCCTCTTTCCCAAGCCCACTGGGAATGACACCTCTGAATGGTGACATAGAACATCAATTTGTCACCTTTTCCATGTCACTAAATTTGGAATATACATTCTGTTCTTGCAAAGTGTGTCACCAGATAGGCACCAGATGCTCTGCTATGCTTCACTGGGAGTGTGAAAGTGAGGACTTTTTAGGGTGAGTTGCCCCCACCCCTCATTTAAGACTCCTGAAATTTAGGAGCATTTAATTTTTACTCCTGGTCTCTTTGGAGAAAAAGTGTTTCTAAGATGTTCCCTAATACACAGCCATTTGCCCAGATGATTATACCAGTAACAACTGTATAAGAACACAGGTAAGTATACTTTTCTTACTAACTGGAAGGGTGATCTACATTTTCAACATTAATTTGATTAGCAAAGGATTCACACAATTTACTTTCCACAAAACTAGGCTACTATTCCAAGTGCCACACTGTTAGCGCATCTCAGAAAGAAACACAAGGCTATAAACAGCACACAGATCAGTAATTCAGCACAATGAACTGGCAAGCCATTCCTTAGTTAGGATTTGATGTGATGTGTTCTCTTCTTACTGCAGGTTTTCATTAAGAAATCCTAGAGAATTAAATTACTTTCCATAAAAGCAACAAATCATCAATTGCCTCAGATGAGTGATGCAGCTCACTCCAGCAGCAGTCCAGACTCTTAACAGCTCTTTGGCAAGTAAAGCTGTTAACAGTGCCTTTAGTATCTTTCTTTCACTTGCTGTCTTCCCCTTCACACACTTAGCTCCAGTTCCCACTCATTCTCCAGTCCAACAAGGAATCCAAATTTTATGCCTGATAGAGTAAGCCAATTAGCCCCGCTGGCCTGACATGAGAGACTGGTTTCTAGTTCTTTTCTTTTTCCTAGAAGTCACATGTTGTTCCTGAACATATGTTGTTGTTTATCTTTGCTTATTGGGCCATCTGAAACATTCTTCACTTCATTTCTCTTCCCAAGTCACTTCCACATCATCTTCTTGAAATTACCTCAGCCTACATGACTGCAGTTCTTTAGTGGACTGCACAACGAGGAAACAAGAGCATATGAGACCCATCGATTCTTATGGCTAAGGAAATGAAGAATTAATTCCAAACATGGGTTTATCATCTATCAACAAAGTATTGTAAATTCAGTTTCAACACGGTATTTTTAACTGGTAAGCAGTTACAAAAATTGATTTTGTGCTCTTGCCGGCTTCTCACAACACCTTTAATATTAAATATATAAAGCTTGAGACAACAACGCTTAATATGCATCATAAAAGTAAAAGCAGAGAATAAAAATAGAGAAAGTATTTTTAAGCATGACATACTCTGTCTCCAAATGCAAAATTTGTTCCAAACCATTAGCAGATTACTTACCTTCAGATTTTTGCAACTCTTCATAAGATATTTTACATCATAGATGACAGGGAAAAACAATCGCAGTATCTCAAAGAAGTCCAGCTCTTCCTCAGGTAAATTGGAGTTTGTCAGGATCTTGATTAGATAGCCAAAGTCATATCCACTGCAAATTAATACCAAAAACAATATAAGTAAGTGACTTAGAAGCATCCTTCTCACTTCAAGATTTCACTGCACTTTGACAGGAAAAACAACAACCTTCAGGACTTCACTGCACATTGACAGGATACTCTGCTTAACTCCAATGCAATAAAGACTAACTTCTATGAAAAAAACGAAACTTCAATATAAACAGCCCCATTGCAGATTCCAGAGAAAACATTTTAACTTAGTCTGAAAGAGGCCAAGTGGAGATGCAAAAAGATCTGCCTACAGTAGTTTCTCTAAATCCCAAAATAAGGTAGGGCTGCTGGGTCTTCATCTGATAACAAGGACTTTCACCATAAAAACTCCTAAGCTGATTTCTTTCACATAGACTGGAGTTTCTCACTCCAAATTGAGACAGGCAGACACTTCTACAGTTCTTGAAATCCAAAAGATTAATGAGTTTCCAGAGCCAGTGCATGTTTATGCCTGGAGGCAAGTCTAACCCTCAGCAACAAAGAAGAGGAATTGTCTTTCAACTTTTCCAATTAAATCAGCACACAGACAACTACAAAGTTTAATAGCTTGTAGACTATTACTCTTTCTGGAGGCAATGACAGAGTAAGCTGGAAAAATTTTTGTGTGTACATGTAAGTCTGCAGGAGGCAGAAAGGTAACTAAGCAGTGCTTGTTTGTTAGAAGAAACGGCGGTATTGTAGTGTGCACATGGTAGAGAGAAGAGTTTGGGAAGGCTTCCTCCCCCACAGTGTGACTGAATAAAGAGGACATAGCAATGAGGTGTGGCAGTAACGTGGAAACCACGTACTTTTACAAATAGTTATGAGAAGAAACAAGAGGGTTAAGTAAAGACAAATATTGGGTATTAAAGCAACCCTGACTCCATAACAAAAAGCAGTGATGATAAGTTAGGCTTTTTCTTAGGAGGGCAGCAATTACAAACCAGATTATTCATGACCTGACCATGAAGCTCACCTGTTCTGATCCCTTGTACTTGCAGGACTGCTAATGCACGAAACTAAATGGAGGAGTGATTTCTTTCTCTTCCATGTTATTAAGTTTGCATTGAACCAGATCAGTTCCTAGATTTTACTGTCATACAATTTAAAATATGCCTGTACTAACAAAGAAGATGAAAACACACCACAGGGCTGCCTCTACTGAAGACTTTATCAGTTTTGCTATTTAAGGAATCTTAGCATAGGGTGAGGGACGATTCAAGTGAGCAGGTGGCCACCACAGACTCCAAATTTCCAGTTTAAGACTTTGTGTTCATTCTTGACTATACAAGGGTCATATTCAAAACCAAGAATTTTTCAATTTGGTAAATACTGGCCAGGATCTTTAACTGTGAGATAAGCAATAGAAAAGACAAATCAGTTAAGAGCACTGATCCTGCAGATATTTAGGATCCATAAAAAGCAGTGACATCTGCAGGCTCAAAACTTCAGCTTGCACACTCAACGTAAATAAGTTTACTTTTTGAACCATTTTTATACAATAAAATTAGCTGACATCTTTATACTATGAGTTTCAAGACAGAGGGTAGAAAAACCTTCAACATACTGGGGGTATATGGATTGTTTGCTACAAGTCCATTAATACAAGATATAAAATACCTATAGATTATTGCAGCTCTCCCATGGGAGTTTCCAGTGCTCTAAGGGGAAATTTTATGTTGAACAAATCCTGCACTGCCTCTGGTACTTTGAAGCTGTGCTGGCCACCTTCCAGTCTCAACAGCAACAGCCACTGGCCAGGAAGCAAAGAAGCCAAAGATAAAGAAGGATTTCAGTTGACTCTTACAAAGTAAAAACTGTAGTAAACTTGACAAAACAGTGGCTTGGAAGTCTAATTTTATTAGATCATTTGAAGAGGGAGGGAAGTGGTGGGAAAGTCCATATCAGCATGAAGCCCTCTAAAGAATAAAAGAAAAAGTCACACTAACAAAAAAGGCTGTTCAAAAAGATGCAAAAAAACACTGTTCAGTATTATGGAGACTTATTCCTTCAGATTCTACATTTTATTAACTCAATGAATTCCTTGATCACCCTCAAGGTTCAAATATAACAAGCCATATTAAAGTGAAAGAAACCATATTTGTGCTACTCCTCTTCAAAAAATGTTTGACTTGTCTTCAAAAAAAAAGTGTATTAATTAAATAATAGAAAATAGATGCCCCCAAACACTTTTAATTTCTTTAAAGTAGGAAGTACTTAAATAAAAGTCAACATTCCTTTACTATTCATATTGAGACGAGCAGAGTATTAAAAACAGCAATTTTGATTGAGAATTACACATTTTTTTCACTTAGAGATTGTAGCAGATCCAAGCTTACAGACATAAAAACTGTCACTCCAATTTAAGACTAAGATAGATCCATTAAAACAAATTTGGAGTGGCCACTGCTGAATGCTAAGAGAAGGCTAAGTAAGTCCATGGTGAGCAATTATGTAATTACGTGCTCATTAAAGAAGTTTTCTTCTAATCCTGTAAGAGTGATTAGTGGTTGTTTTACACCCTGAAGCACACAGACTTCCTTGCCTGAAAAACCCTGCACCATTTCTAATACAATCACCTGAAATTGCTTAGCACAGCAAGCCACAATCTGTAGAGCTATACAACACAAGCACTCACTCTTACAGACATTTGTTTTGTTTTTTTCACTGAACTTGGACAGCTCTAGGCAAAAAGACAAGAGCAGACATCAAACATGCCTCTATTTCTTTTCCTTACTATCAAGATAGAATCCAGATAGCCAATGAATTCTACTCAATCACCAAACCTCTGAAATAAATCAAAATGTGCAAGAACTGAGAAAGCTTTAGTTCATTTTATGATGCTAACAGAAATGAGCCAACAGATTAAATTTTACTAAAATCAGTTAGACACAAATGATTATTGAAACACATTAGCTTGGAACTTTGCAATATCCCAAGAACATCTAGTTTTTGTTTTCCAAAAAGCATGTTTCCACTGACCCTCCAAAGGCAGACAAATGAGGTTGCACAGAAGTGGACACTCAAAGCTTGAGCAGACAGTTGAACATCCACAAAATCAGCATTTGAGCTGTTCCTTCCTAACTTGCTAGACTGTCAAGCACTAGCAGCTCTCTTGACTGTGATAAAAAATCACAAATTCAGGGCTTCCTCCATCTCTCTCATTAACTCAAATACATTTTAACACGCACACACACAGGATTTGATGGAAGTCATCTATGAAGTTGCAATACACAAGAATTGGTGACAGTGCAAATATTTCTTCACTCATATCTGACAGAACTGCATATCCAGAGATTTGCCAACATGTCAGGATGCCAAGGCAGCTACATCAAATGTGGAGATAAAAAGCACACAAAGAGAACTATTTGAGAAGCGAAGAGCTTGCAAATGAATTGCATAAAAGTTCAAGGAAATCAAAGACTACAAAATGAAAACCAAATCATATCTTCATACTCTGAGGAAGGAGTAATTCAATTCTCCCACTTACTATGGGATTCAAATTTTAAGAGCGAGTAGTACTTTAAGCATTTTAAGGTAACAGAGGCAATAGGAGAGTCAGCAACTACCAAGCACAGCTTCATCAGCTGTTAAAGAACTACTGCATGGAGAGCCTCAATGGAACAAATTTTCAACTGAGCATCCTGCTGTGTAAGTTTCCACTGATAGAACATAATCACAATCAAAGATGTATTTAGAAACAACTGTTCACTATTCTTTGTGGCACATTTTATATGACCCATGCTCATTTACAGCTTTACATAATTTTGGTTTCCTCAGAACTTAACTTACTCCAAGGTTTTGTGCTCAAAATAATAACAGCAAGGTCTAAAAATGCACAAAAGGTTTAAACACTCTAATAATCAGTGTCTGACAAACATATGCTGAACAACTGTCTTAAGAGGATTTCTAAAGACACTTTCAGTGAAATCCACAACAGAAACTCATTTTAGCACAGATGAAACTGGACTTCTATTAATAAAGCCATTTCAAAAACCCTTCATAAGCTGCACCAGTAAGAAATGGCATTATTGCACATGGCTTGCACTACACTTTGACCAGCCCATTAGTCAGGAATTACACACACTAAATATAATTATGCTCTAGAAAGAATCCCTAGAGTAGAAATTGCTCAGGTATACCTTATACCAGGCCCTTAGTCACCAGGCAATATTGGAAAAACACCAGTCTGAGGCTGAAGCTGCTTCTATGTGGCATCCTCTGCTGAGGCACAGTTACACGCATAACCTGCCTCCCCTTCTCTTGAACCATCCCAGTCATATTACTGCAGTCAAGTGTAAATCATGAATATACACATAACAGCCCACAATACTGTGCTTAGGAAGTTGAAAAAAACTCTAATTTGGCTTTTGCAGTTATTTTGACCCAATTTAAAGCATTCTTGTTACAGTATTCTTCCCCAAGCTGCTACTCTAGAAAGAAGATAACAAGAGTAAGATTATTTTAGAGTCCTATTGTGAGTTGAAACAGCTGTTAAGTGAAAGATGGAAGTGACAACTGTGCTCAGAGGATCCTTCTTTATGTAACTGTCTTTTCTTTTAAACCTCTCTGCTTTGGAAACTCAGCCTAGCACTTCTATGTACGAAACAAATCAAAACCACGACTTCTGCAAAAATGTTACATGCACCCTTCTACTACTGTTACACATTTCTTGCCAAAATAATTCTTATTTTCAAGTTTGTTTATTGCACAAATACTTCTCTAATTCCATGTGACTTTGTCTTTTCCAACTCTTAATACTTATGGACAAAGAATTTTTTATTCTAATTTCATCATTTACATATCATCCATCAACATGAGATACAAATTTTAGCTGAGACTGGTTTGCTTACAGTCTTGTTCATTTGCTTTACCTTGCTGACTTCCTTAGAAGCCAGCATTTAAGACACCAACTCAAGGGTATTACATAGCAATAAGCCTTTAAAGTCACTGTTGCTTGCAAAAATTCTGGCATGCAGTTAGCTAAACTACTGTGTACGTTTTTAAAGTGTTAAATCCTATTAACACTCAAAAATCTTTTGTATTATGACAGACTCAGAGATTTCGCATTTGCATCTCTATTTCTACTTGAGAGATGATGGAATAAGTAGTAAAATAAATACATAAAACTGATGAAGGATCTCCTTTCCAAGCTGAGTTATTTCATCTGCTCAGATTAGCAAGAGATTTACAACAAATTTAAGAGTGCTGTATAGACCTCTTTACTGATAATCCTCTTCTATAAACAGACAATATTTCCCCTAGGATTGCTCAGAAGTAGTTTGCTTTTAGTAATGTTTCTGTTATTACTTGCACGTGTACAGCTCCACCTGCTGGTTTAGCAGTTTCGTGTTTTTCAGCTTCACAGTTTTCTGGTTACTGCATAAACACCCAAGCTAAAACCACCAGTACAACCCCTGTATTCTTCAACACCAATACCCCTCTATTCCTCTAATACAAAATGGTGTTAGAGGTATTACAGCAGAAATATTTCCTCAGTCTTACCGACCAAGATATGGGCTACATACATTTAAACTCAAGGGATGTGAAATCCAAGTTCTAGAACTCAAACACCCATGAGATGTTGGAATCTCAAACACTTAACATGCAGAATTTACCTATGAAAGGAAAGCCACTTGACTCCTTCACACAGTACAACTCCTGATGTCATGAGCAGTTCTGCAAAGTACTGTGTCTCAATTCCTTCTTCTTCGTGCTTTTTAAACTGGATACCAGATGTTGTCAACAGTTCGATAGAGTCCTGAGCATACATATCTTCTCTAAAAACAGAGAGGAAAAGTTAATTTCCAAAATCTATACGTCTCAATGAGGTAACATTTCTTTTTTGCTATTCATTCCACAGACTAGGAACAATTTAATTTTCTTCTAGGTTAATTACAAAACCAACCATTTTTCAAAGATTTTTTTTAAACCTTCATTATCATTTTACCATTCCCAGCACCTCCATTCTTACCATATTCATAAAAAAATTAGTTTCTGCTCCTTTTCCAGTTACCTATAACCACCCTTTTGCAAGTCTATAAATGAAAGTGCATCTGTAGAACTTATCTGGTAAAATATCTGTATAAATCACTTGAATTGTGACAAATTAAATGTAACAGTTGAAGCAGTAACACATTACATTGCAGAAATATGAGAAATACAATCCAGATCCCAGTACTGAATTAGTTCTGTAGAAAATATTTCTCAGTAGTTTTTTGTGATTTAAGCTTATGTAAATGTTTAGACATGTGTTCATAAAAACTTTTTTCAGTAAAACTGGAAATGGAGTACTTGCTCCATTTAGCAAAACCTTAGAATTCAGAGATCCTAACTTTTTCTGTCTAAATTCTTTCTTTCTAAACAATTTGTTTTAACTTTAAAAGCCTATTTTGGACCTAAAATTTAAGAGGATGAAATAACAATTCCTCTACCTTTTTTGACCCCTCCTACCTTTGTGTTTATTCCCTTTAACACCACCATTTTTTTTTTTTGGCAATGTTTTAAGAATCTCATGCTGAAATTCATGATTTGGAGCCTATTTTCTCCCTTAAGTTTTATCTGAATCATCATTACAAAAACATGGAATGGTTAAATGAAGAAAAAAAAAAAGTAAGCATGTAAGTACTTAGAGAATGAAGTTCATTTTACTGTCCATAACATACTACTCCACAAAGTCTCTTCAGTGTACAGTTTCAAATGTTAATAAAAAACAACCAAAACAAAACCACAAGCAAACCTAGACAAGACAACCAATATATCAAACTTGACTATTAGATTCAGTCATAGATCTGTATTCCTTATTCCTAAGAGCAAGTCATCATTCTTTAGAACACAGACATATATCCTCAAGATGTGTTACATCTTTTTTCCTCACTCCCACACAGCTGCTCTTTGGTTCTCCAGCTTTGAGGCAGCAGCTTCTCAACACCTGTCTGTATCTATAGCACATTAAAGAACCCACCCAAAACAAAGGCACCACTTAACAAAAAGGGGGTTTCATTCTAGTTGCTGCTCTGTACTAATCAGGTGCAGAGCATGATTAGAGAAATATTTATGCTTTTTGGAGCACACTAAAACAAGACCTGGCTGGAACCACACACACAAAAAATTACCTTCTAGGAACAACAAACAGCTGTTTTGCTTTAGGAGGAGAACATCTGGCACAGTGCCATTTCCCAAAAGGATGTTTATAAACAGACAAAAAAAGGTTGTCCATCCATGTATAATTTCTCATGCAGTACTTACCAAGTTTCTGTTTTTCAATAACCCCCACCATCAACTAGCAACAAGGTAATTTGGTGATTACCTGTATCTTGCCTTACTGATCTGTCTTATCTCTGCAGCATCTGGCACAAATAGATGGAAAGCTACTTTTGGCTTCAGTTGTTTGAGGTTAAGTAGACCTTTGAAGCTCAGAAAATAAATGAAGTGCAGCATAGGCCCTTCTTCACAGATCACAGTCTGGAAGTTATTAATTCCTCTTTCTCCCCTAATTAGTAGGATTAGTATATTTTTCTATTTAAGAAAATAGGTAACTTTTATCCAGCATTTATATGGCCAGGTAAGTTCAGAGATACCAAAACATTAAATCTGTGCTTACTTTTCCTTCAAGAGACAATTCACACAAGACTAAACAGAGCATGTCATTGGTCAGATCAAACTGATGTGTGACAATCCACACCACTGCCTGTTTAAAAGAGCACAGAGATCAAGAGAGGCAGCAGAGGTTTTCCTCCTAAGAACTCCAACTACTTTGAAAACAAGTCTTTTCATCTGCAGAAAAAATAAAGGTCTGTCCTCTAAAACCTTCTTCATAGGCTGTGAGTTTAACTCATGTATATAAAGTTGTCCAGTTCTCAACTTGTAACACAACTGCCAAAAACCCCAAGGCTTAAATTAAACGTGTGAGTAGTGTTTGTACTGATATTCAATTCAGTAGATAATCAACATATGAGAATCTATCAGACCAATTTTGCTTACTTCCAAAAAACAAAACCAAGATACTAGTAACTTTGTTGACCAGCTAAAGATATAATTAGAGCACCAGATAAGCTTTTGATTCCCCTGAAAAAGTGAGGTTTATGCTTAAAAAGTTTTTTATCACTGATAAAAATCACATTTTGAAATAAAGTCCATGGTATTATTCCAATACAATAGAAGTCAGCTTGCTTTTTAACCAAAAAAATAGACAAAATAATTCAGAATGATAGTATCTGACATGCTTTTTTAGTCACTTTAATTAATTTTTTTTCAAGTGTTGGTATTTTCCATTTAAAGTATGTAAAGAAACAGTGTGATTTCTAGAACAAGTAGTAAGAGTTAAACTAAGTTAAGGCAGAAGTACTCTGAAATGCTAAACATGAAAATACAGAGCTAACTCTTGGACTAAGTATAAAATGCCTTCCATTTTTTTTTAAACTGCTTAGCATTTTTGACCAAATTACCAACAGTAAGACAGACTGCACAGAAATGAGGGAAGAAATCATGTTTGGCTGACAGAAGTTTTCCTTACATGAGTATTTATGGTATTCCAGTACTACAATCAGATGGATAATGAAGTTGCTACAGAATTTATACATTTTCAGTAAGTCAGAAACATACGTTTAGCAGCACAGAACTGAATACTTACGTTAAGTTAAATTTAAAATTAAATTGCCAAGTTGAAGTTCCTGGAGGGTATTCTCCTTGCTCATTCATAAACGTCAGTCCTAGTTGAATTATTTTTAGCAAGTCGACATTGCAGCGTAAGAGTTGGTACTGATAGTCTGCGTTGCTTCTGAATTCTCCAATAGGCCTTGCAACTACTCCTGGAAATTCTGTGTCCTGCAAGAGCAGAATTTAAACTTGAACACACAACAACCATATAGATCTAACCATATCACAGCTGAAGAGTACTGTGTGTAAAATTAACTTTTAGAAAGATAAAAGATTAGGATCCAGATGTTCATGCAGCACTAATTCAACATTAAGACTTCCTTAGGCTTTCAATTTAAAAGGATGAGCAAATTTACTGACCTCAGCTGAAGTCATGATTTCTGCAGTAATTCGCTAGACAGACATCAAGCACCCACTTACCATAGCTACATAGTTATACTTCCGTATAACTTGACGAATTTTCTTCATCTCTTCATCCAAGTTACAAGCCCAAACTTCACAGATTCTTTGGCTATGATCTACGGTAGCTGCTGGCATAGTGGGGGGCTTTAGAGACCATACATCAAATGTTACACTTGACCGAAGATTGGTTTCATAAAGAGGACTTCAACTGTTTATTTTTTTTAGCCTAAGAGACAAACAAAGCAAAGCATCAAAGTGTAAGTTTTTACTCTCAGTTTATCTGAAGAAAAAAAAAAAAGGCTTAAGCACCACATCCACACTTTATCCTCGCAGTTTCACAAAAGCAGGACAACATAGCCACCACAACCACAGGTCCGCGAGCTCAGATTACCATCAGAAACCAAACCCTGCAGTTTCGTTAGCGACTGTTTCCCGCACAAGGGCGGCAAGGGGCACTAGCGACACGGATACCGGAGACACCGGCTCCCCGGGCGCTCCTGCCCCGCGGCTCGGCAGGCGCGTTCCTGCGGACCCCCGGGCTGCGTGCAGCAGAAAACGGAGCGGCAGAGCAGAGTCACGGCAGCCCCGGGGTGCCGCGGGGGCCTCCCGAGGCGGGAGCGGCTCCCAAGGGCCGCGCTAACCCAGCGAGAGGCGCGCGGAGACCGACACACGGCTGGCCGGGTTCCCGCGCGCGTGAAAGGCCCCGGGAGCGCCCGGAGGAGCCGCGGAGCGCGGGGGTCCCGCAGGGCCCCGCTCCGGTGCCGAGGGCCCCGCTCCGGTGCCGGTGTCCCCGCCCGGTGCCCGCGGCGCCGCCCCCGCTCACCCCTCGCGCTCCGGCCGGGCCGCGCCGGGTCTGGGAGGCCCCGCGCGGCCCCCGCGAGCCGCAGGAAGCGCTGCTGCCCCCGGCGCCGCCGCCGCGCGCACAAAGCCATTACGTCATCGCCGCGCGCCGCGGCCTTTCCCCCCTCCCCTCTGGCCAATCGCCGGCCGCGCCGCCCCTCCCCTCCCGCCCCGCCCCTCCGCCGCTCGGGTCGCGGCGCGCGGAGTTGACGCGCCCCGGCGGCGGCGGCTCCGGGGCGGGGCAGGGGCGGCGGGATCGCCGTCGCGCGCAGGCGTGCGCGGGCGCACGGTGAGGTGCGCGCGGTGCCGCGGGTGCGCTCGCGCCCCTCCGGTGCCGCCGCGCGCGCGATGAACTGGCTGTTCCCGCTCGCCAAGGGCGGCGCCGCCCCCGCCTCCGCCGCGCCGCCCGCGCGCACCGGCCTCCAGCAGCAGCGGCAGCGCCAGGTCGAGTCCCTGCGCGCCGCGCACGCCTCGTGAGTGGCCGCGGCGGGCGCGGGGGCGGGAGGGCCGCGGCGTGTCGCCCGTCCCGGGGCCGCGCGGCGTCGGTGGCCTGTCGGTAGCGTGTCGGTAGCGTGTCGGTAGCGTGTCGTGTCTCTCTGTGCGCGGACACGGGAGCCCGGCTGCGCCCCGTCCCCTCCCCGCGAGGCCTGGCTGGGTCCTCGCGGCCGTGTGGATAAACAGGGCCCCCGAGCCAGCGGCGCCGCAGCCCGGGCCGGCCCAGCCCCGCGCTGTCCCGGGGCCGAAGGGTCCCGCCGGGCGGTGCCGCGGCCTCCCCGCCGGAGGACAATGCGATGTGGGACCCCGGCGGGCTGGGAGCAGGAATTCGGAAACTGAAAGTCCGGCTGGCTGTCGGGGAGGCGTCCCTGCTGGCTTCGGTGGGGCCCGGCCGGGTGATCGGGCGCAGGTCGGCGTGCCCGGGTTCACTTGCCGTGGCCCGGAAAGCCTGCTCATGAGGTGTAATGTCTTCGGAGTGACGCCACCACGTCTTGCGATAAAGCCTGTCTGGAAGCTGCTTGTAATAGGGTAGTTGATTAAAAGTTGAGACTAAAACGTAGAGCACCAAGGAGTTGTGTGGCGCAGTGGCCTGCCAGCAGTGGCACAGTGGCATAGCAGCCCTACTGACTTTACACTTTCCTGGTGTTCAGTGCTACCTGCTAAAAACTGGCCTCTTCTCACCATCTAAACAAAACTACTTTTTAAGGAGCAGTCGTTTGAAACTCCTTACATTTTAAAAGGAGTCCACATTCCATACATTTGAAGTTATAGTTACAGTGAAGTAAGCATTCTACTGACATACAACTTCCTAGGATTTCTGTAGAACTGAAATGGTAGCTGCCTCCAGAACAATTCAGAAAAAGGACAGGGAATGCTTCCTGTCACATCATCCTGACACTAGAAGTGGAAGAGATACTAAATGCATTTCAAAGTTTAATAACTGCAGATAGTTTCCATTCCTAATTTTTTTAATTATCACATAGGGAACATAGATATGACGGTATTCTAAGTATTGTTGCTTGAATAAGTGTAAGTCTGTTCAGAGCTAATTTCACAGATATTTTGGACACAGTTCACTTCCCTAGGAGCTGTTCTTGTGGGCATATAGGAGCTTAGTTAACTTAAAAGTTTTTGTTAGGCTTGGCCTTTTGTTTATATCCACTTTTTAAAAATCTGGCAGTGAGATGAGCTCATCCTGAATTAAGTCCCCAAAAAAGGGATCAGTTTTTGTCAGTCAGCTTGCTGAACTGGTTTGCTACTGAGGGGTAGGGACATGGTAGCTGCCCAAATGTTATTCCTTTATGAGTACTGTTGTTGCTCTTCACCAAAATGCTCAAAATTCTTGGTATGCTGTAGTTAACTAAGTTAGTCAAGTTTGGTTTGTGTCGTCTTAGGTCATAAAAGCTCAGGTATGTGTGATATTAATTTCAGTAAAGCAGATAGCTTTCCTATACACAATCCCTCTCAGGTTATGAGCTTGAAATAAAACCTTTGCATTTAAAAAAGAGATTTTTACATTTGCTGTTGTTCTGGACAAAGCTAAGAATGTATCATTTTTTCAGTGTGCTCATTCCCACTTGGGGAAGCAACAACTAAGGTTATTAGTTCAAGGTTTTTCCTAAGCAGGGTTATAACTGGACGTTCAATGAGATTCTGGCTTTCTTGTTCCTCACTCTGTCCTCATCTTCCTCCCCAGTATCCACATGAGTGGAGTGTAATTATATACCCTTCTCAAAAGGATTTTGCGGCAGGCTAATGAAAAGTGTGACAGATGACTACAGGGCAGGAATGTGAGATTCCAGGAAGAATCCTTCAGTTAAGGATGAGAAGTTGCAGATAGTGGTGTGTGGTGTAACACAGCAGAACCCTTGACTTGAATTCTCCTGTGCTGAAGATATTTGATATTTTCTTCAAACAGTGTGTGATTTCACCAGGAAAGAGTAAATACTGAGTTGTCTATGAGAGGAATAAGATCAGGCTGCATAAAGCAAGATTCATAGCTGAGTTAGTGTCTTACTCCCATTTGTTCCCCAAGCTTTTAGACTTCATTTTGAAGCCTTAAATTCTATGCCCCAGTAGTGCCTTGGAAGGACACAAAACGCTCCCAATGCTACTCTTCACACACATTTGCAGGTAATGTGTTCTGGGTTTCTTGAGAAAGGACTTGTATGGAGTGTACCTGGCAGTGGATGGAGGAGCATTTCTGAAGTTGGATCAAAAGATGATTTCTGGGAACACCTGGCTGGCATTATTTGCCACTGAGGCTGTGTTCCCTCTCCTGTATAAGGGGAGGTTACAAAGAGTGTTATTAACCAGGTGCAAGCAGGAAAAATACATGGAAGAGCAATCAGTCTGCTTTTATGATTTGTTTTGATTCATTATAACAGGAAGTTTGTTTTCTGCCCTTCTGTCTTTTACTCTCAGCTTAGATATGTTCTTATTGCCTAGAAATTCTGCTTCTGAGCTTCACCTCCTCCACATTCTCTGGGATGCTCTCTTTCAAAACAATCTTGCTGTGCATGGAAATTGTAGAATGCTTTGAGTATTGAAATCAACTTCCTAATAATGTAGCTCATTTCAAGATTTTTCCCTCTGTAATTTACCTGTTGCAGGAAAAACAAATTTGGATTTGACCTTACTAGATTTTGTAAGGCTCATCCAGTGCTTTCAGGAGGGCCTGGATCTTGAGTCTCACAGGAGCTTTACATTGTTGAATGCAACTCTACTCCAGATAATTCTTGAAAGCTTGTGCAAGTGAGCTTGGTGCACATAGTAAAAACTACTGTTAAATATTAAGCTAATCTATTAAGGAAGAATGCCTAGTCTAAAAAACATTCTGCATATTGATCTGAAGGCAGTGTTGCAGAGCAATGTGAACCTGATATAATGCCTTGGTGAAGTAAATGTTTAATCAGATAAAATTCAGTATATTAAAATAACACTGATGTGTTGTCTTAAATTAAGCCAGTAATGGGAGAAAGATAAGTTGAGATTATTGTCAGAAGCATGAATAGTGTGATTTCTCCTACTATAGCTCATTTGCTTGTGACCGTGTATGAGGTTTAAATGTTAAATCCACTATTTTTTTTGCTTTCATCTTAATATTCAATATAGAATGCTGAAGACTATTTGCATACTCCAGCATTTTCAATTTTGTTCTTACAGCTTTTCAAAACTAAACTGAATACAAATATCTGAGGTCATGCTTGTTTCTTTTAGACTTTTAGCTGTTATATTGACCATGCAATGGATGCTAACAATTTTTTCTTTGACAGCATTGCAGAAATACAGAAAGATGTGGAATATCGATTGCCATTCACTGTAAACAACTTGACAATTAACATTAACATGTAAGTAGAGTGGGCTGTGTCTATGCACATCTTTAAAATTATTCTTAAAGAAAACAAAAGTGGTAATAGAATATAAGCTGCTCCAGCTCATAATTAATTTCAGGAGCCATAACCTGGATTTATATTAGTGGTTATAGTGATCTGGGTAGAATTGGCTCTGTACAAGATATAGATGTTCAGCTGAGAGCAAAATCATATTTTACTGTTCTCAGTTCCTAAGGTAGCTATGTGATTTTAGTTGAAGGTAACTAGGGGAAAATGCTTGAGGATTTCTGATAACTTTGATTCCCTGCCACTGAAGATAAACTTGATTGGTAATTTCTTAGTCTGCTGTAACTCCATACTCTTACCCTGGTGAAGGTTCTGTAACTCAAGTGATTTATTTTACCCTGGTGAAGGTTCTGTAACTCAAGTGATTTATTGTAATATTTCCTGTAAATTTACTTTGGGGGCACACTTTGCTCTGGCAAATGTTGATAGTATTCTGTTCACAAGTTTTATATTACTTGGCCCTGCAGAGTTGGCCTGATATTCTTACAGGCTACACTGCATTGTATTTGTAGCAATAGCATCTGTATTTGAAAATGTTCTTGTTATGCTATGGCTTTTTTGTTGGCTATTAGTTTGTCAGACCATGTGCTAATAGCACCAAGGCTGCAGGTTCAGTGCCTGTATGGGCCATGCACTTAAGAGCTGGACTCAGTGATCTTTGTGGATCCTTTCCAACTCAGAATATTCTGTGATAATTGCTCCTTTGTTATACTTACAATTTTGCCCAGTAAATGCTCTCTTCAGTTTTGTGGAAGTCTGGTGTTCCAATCTGTTGGACTTCAAATTTTGTAACTGAATAATCCTTTTGTATGCTTAATTCGTCGTGCACGTGTCCATAACAGTTCTCATAGAAAAGTATGTTTATGTAATTAATAGTACTTTTTTTTTCATAAGAAGCCTTCTTATGCAAACTTTATCATGAGGTGTCACTGTAGTAATAATTATTCTTGTATTTGCAGTTTGCTTCCACCTCAGTTTCCTCAGGAAAAGCCAGTCATCAGTGTTTTCCCACCTGTGAGACATCATTTAATGGACAAGCAGGGGGTATATGTGACCGGTCCATTAATAAGTAACGTATGTATCACTTGTAGCTTCACACAGATCTACTCTTAATAGCATTTAATACATCTCACACTAGATTATTGTTAATACTCCTGGTAAAAAAGATTAGTATAGATCCTAATCTTT